GACGCTGAGCAAGTATTTAAAAAGATAAAACGTCGCGCCTCTGTGAAGTATTCCGCTCTGGTTCCAAACACACAGGGTTTAATGAACGCTCTCGAGGTGAAACCAGATGAGGTGGCCGTTTTTACAGCAGCCTCTGAAATATTTGCACAAAAAAACATCAATTGTTCCATCGACGAAAGTCTTCGACGGTTCACTGAGGCAAGTTTCCCCTATGAACGGTCTCTTTCTTGCCTTCAGTTTGATATTGTTATGTATCCGTATGTTTAAGCTGTTTTGTTACTACAGCAAAAGTTAGTCTTGAGGACCTACCTACTGTTGCTGGTAATCTAACTAAATGGACGTAAAATAGAGAATAAAATAGGGCACTATTAGGACAAGTTTGTCATTAAACTGAGCGGCAACGAAGCTTCCCACAACTGATATTAGATGCTGCTGTCAAGGCTTGAATCCTTCATTCTTAAACTTGGAACAGGCGGTTTAAGTCGCTGTTATCAACGTGCTTTGGTTCCTAGGTTCGACGTTTGAACCATTTCACCATCGCCTAACTGATTTCGTTGACAGCTGCGCCATTATCCGCCTCAGTACTACACGTGATGTACTGGGGCCTTATGCCACGCCACTCCAATTCCCGGTATTTTGCTTGCAGGTTTCTACGAATGAGAAACAGGTTCCCATATCTGACAAGTTGATCTCGTCTTATTGCAAAACTTGCAAGAGGCTACACCTGTTCTCACGCTAATGAACGACCAGTTGGAAATCGTCGATCACTTCACTTATCTCGGTAGCTTTTTCAGCTCAAGAGGACTGACGGAAGAAATATCAGCGCGTAGCCGCAAGGTTCTGATGGCTTTGGTTAACCTATGTCGCTTGTGGCGCCGAAGAGTTGATCTCAGTCTCTCCTTGAAAGACCGCATTTACAATTCCAAATTACCCACTGTATTACTGTCTTACTCTATCGCTTCGACAGTTGGTCCCTCCACTTGGAATACGTAAGGAGATTGTCTTTGACCATCGTTGCCTTCTTTGCATCGCCAGAATACGTTGGCGAATCACCAACTATGAGGTTCTCTGAAGAATCTTCGCCTCAGGCAATCTCAGTCGTCCTCTGACTGCTGTCATCTCGCTTCAGAGACATCGATAGCTAGGACATGTGTTGCGGATGCGACAAGGTGGACAACGAATAACCTGGATTCGAACAATGAAGGCAGTGGTAGGACGCTCTAGACTCCCAGGTTGGGGTTCCAAGGACAACAAACACCTATGGTTTGAGACACTAGCAGACACGGCTGGTAACCGGGGTCAATGGCGCACCTGTTGCAAGACTCTTATTCGTTGAATTATTTTTAAACCGCTTTTACATCTTTCTTCATATGTTGTGGCACATCTGCCAATTCTATGTAATTGGTTACTTGTTAAATATGTGTCTCGTCTACTGTTCATAACACAAGGGTATGTATAACACAAAACGGCGAGTTCAACTATTCGTTCATAATGAATGGACCAAAACTACAGCAATATAGGTAAACAAATTAATACAACTCATACCACAGCCTTAAGAAAACGATTCAACTCCGGGACCGTTTGTTATCTAAAGGTACAAGTTGAAAATTTCTTTTGGAAGACCAGAAAGTTATGACTCAGTTGTTCTGATTTGATGTGATATGCGGGACTGATTCGTCCTATTCGTTTAACGGAAACATCGCCAACCCCTGGCGGCCCCGCTCACTTTGTCAAACCGGAGCAGACACTTTGAACTGAACTGTAATAAACTTTATAAATCGCTTACCATGAACTTTTGTCGTTTATTGCGTAAATGTAGCGTGAACTGAAAATTCGTGAAGCATGTGTTTTGAAGTCTCATTAGCAGTATGTATACATGGACCCAAATGGGAATAGAGCCTGAGACCCCACGATCATGGTACCTTAGAAACTAGTACTGAACAGGGCGAGATATGATACCCGCCTCCGACGGCCTCAGTATGGTTGGAGTGGGTGTTTTGGGTTGTAGTTGGTCACCCCTTGCCCCTCGCGAGATGCTCCTGTACGACGAAGCGTCCAAAACAGCCTCTGCTAAAGGAGCCCCACTCTCAGCCTTCTCGTGGTGGTATTTTCTCCACCAAGGTGAGAGGATGAAAAGCCGAGATCCGGGGGCTGTAACCGGGATGGCGGACCACTAATAGTTCACCTAGGGGAGTTGACCCAAAACCCTGATTCTAAACAAACCAAGAGGAAGCGTACGAACCACACACACCTTCCCGGTTGATGTACTGGTCACTGGCACGATTGGGTATCAAGGTGTATTGGACACCTTGGACATTTGACCCCGTCCGAAGGGCGTATGATTCGATGAACTGGACACCAGCTCCCAATGGATTGCTCCGCTGCCTTGCGGGTCAGGCTTTGGTTAGCCAAAGGCTCCAGTTGTGGGTTCCCCAAGAATATTCACCTGTCTTGGTCTGGGCAACCTGGCAGTATTCAGCCCACAATCCAATCATGGAACATTTTCATTTTTATAAGGATTATTGTACCATGATTTGTTTGGCACAAACTGGATTCAAACGTGTGTGAAATTACCCAATCTGGAAAAGGTGTTTTGTTCTTTATTGTGTATGGATAAAATGAATTAACAATCTGATCAGTTGTCCAGTGGATCGTATGCCTGTGTTCTGCCTTGAAGGTCCCGGGTTCCAACGTCAGTAAGGTTGATGTATTCATACTTCTGATGAAGAAGCCCAAACAGATAGAAACAGCTTTTCAATGAACTCTTGTTTTTCTTTGAGCAAGAAGGAATTCACTAGATTATGGAAACAGAGCGTCCACCACAGCCACAATAGAATTGCGAGCCAAAACTCCAATAAGGAATTCTTGGAAATGGACCAATCTGTTCTCGGGAACAATCAGCAAATTTGAATCTTACATTACACGACACAGATCGATATAGGAAAATATAATCCATTAGATAAAGTTCGATCCAAAGAAGTTTAATTCTCGGATCCGATTAAAATCAACTTTGAGGTTATTTAAATCTATCAAAACAGTCACCTTCATTGTATTCTAAAACAATACGGTTACGCTGTTCTTATATTTTTCAGTCTCTTGGTTTGACGGAACAGGTTTCATTTATAACCATTTCGCTCCCTCCAGGTTTTGCGTATTTCAAAAGCCAAAGGAGTCCCAGTCCGGGGCTATATATCTTGTGTCCTGGGCTGTCCGTATGAGGGTTCCGTTTCACCGGACGCGGTAGCTCGAGTTGCGGAGTTACTGTGGAATCAAGGTTGCTATGAGATATCTTTGGGTGACACTATTGGCAAAGGAACTCCTGAGAGGTAGGTAGTTTACTATGTCAGTTTGAGTATCTATACACAGTGCATGTTTTTTATTCATCCAAAACATTTGTGTTGTTGGTAGTCCACCCAACAATATATATATATATATATATATATTATCACCGGCTGGCGGAAGCATGGTGCCAACATCACAGCAATGATAGCAGAAACAGCGAATGGATGGATTAAGATCCGGAACGAAGGGTAAAGAAGATTACAGTTACAATGGAAAACAGGAATCATAACAATATTTTGTGTTTCGCCGTATACTTCTTGATATTTTCGTGTGTTAGTTTGATGGGTTTTTGTTACGGGGCAAGGGGCTTCAGAAGACAGACCGTACAGCAGTTACGCCACTGACTTCTATTCTGGGTCACCTCTCTTAGCGTCTCTAATCAACTACAGCCGTCATCCCTTGGGCCCCAACCTGGAAGGTGGGTTGCAGCAACCGAAGCCAAAGTTGAAGCCAGCTTCTTCATATTCTGATCACCGCGATGTTTCTTTCTACCTTGCGCAGCATGTGCGAAAACAGCACGGAAAGGTAGATGATAGGCAGGCAAACGCAAAATATGCCCAAGCCATAGGATGCGGTGTAGAATTCTTACTTCTTTTAGAAAACGACTATCCGCACTCGGCACGCGACGACGGATCTCGTCATTGCTCACTCGATGTTCCCACCAAACCTGGACTATGTTTCGGATGCATCGACGATCGAATACAGAAAGTCATTTGGCAACCTGAACACGGTGGGGTCAGGTCTCGCAACCGTAAAGCAGAACACTACCAACCGCGGCGATGTACACCCTTCCTTTACGGGAGAGTCGGATGTCATGGCGGTGCCACAAATGTCGAACATTAGCCAAAGCAAGTCTAGCTTTCGCTATTTCTGATGTGATCTCCCCAACAATACAACCAGCTGCGATTGAGCTCCCGAGGTACTTAAGGATTTCAACTACTTCTAGTTGATCACCACAGACGGTGAGTGCAGGCATAAACTCCTGTCAATTTTGAACAAGGATTTTGAACTTTCATGGTGCAAAGCACATACCATATCCGGATACCTCTATCGCCAAGCGGTTTAAAGCGTGTTGGACTGCCTGTGTGTTGTCACCCAGCAAGGCGATGTCATCGGCATATTCTAAGTCAAGGACTCTTACTTACTTATTTTACTTTACTGCAGCTGGCTCTTTGGAAAGGATAAGCCGGCTCCAGACATGC